GTGTTACCACAGGGCCAAGTTACATGTCAGACCTGTGGAGAGGCAATCCCAGTCACAGTAAGAATGCATGTTTTTAGGTCAATAAAAAACAATGTTACTGATTAATGCAAGATGGTTACATTTAAAGCCTTACTGGGACATTCCAGACAAAACAATTACATCTCCATGGAGACAAGCAAGTAGTGGACCCTCCACCAGAACAGTTACACAGTGCACCTTTAACATGCATATAGAGGGCATATACAAATTAATGATTTGCTGCAGAAGCTGGGCTGAGGATTCAGATCAGAGAGGTCCTTTTAGGTTTAAAATAATTGGATTTTAGCATTGAAACCGGCAACCCAAATAAGAGACTGATGTGAGGCTACCATGTATTTTCTTTGGATGACTGATTTACATATACTATAGCTTCATTTTGCCTATTTAAAAGCCTCTTAACTATAAATAGCATGATTCTAACAAGGTCTTCCAATAATTCACAGCTTTTACATTGACTCCTATAGATCTCCTGTGCCTCCTCCATCTTGAGCCTGTCTGTCTACATAAGTTGTGTAAATAGAAATCTCCACGGTGATGCTGTGGGGGTCATGTGTGTGTTTGCGGGTGGGTGGTCGGTAACAGATCCGGCAGGGGGCGGGTGCGTGTACATACAGCAGAATGTGCACTTGCGAGTTTGGGGTCATGAACTTTGACCTCTGAGAAATTCCTCAGCAATTCACTCTCTCTGATCTGTCACTCTCTGCACACGCCTGCATGCTTTGAGGGGGGCCGGGTCCAACCGAGCGTCATGCATCACTTGTGTTGAGAGATGGCTATATAGGCTACAGTCTTATTATGGGAATATAGGGAGGGCACACAGTGTTCACAGGCACGCCAAAAGCTGATCATTATCTGATTTCTGTAGTTATCAGACTATTGAAATAAACAGTGACATTTGATTTGAGTACTAGTCCATCTCAAAAAATTTGAATATCCTTTCCTTGTTTTCAGACCCATACATTATATAGTACCTTAATCAGATTTCTTTATGTGCAGGTTTTGACAAAAATATGCAAAAGGGCAAACTGATGTATCGCAGACACCACTCTCTTGCTATTTTTCTATTTATTTAGAATTAATTTTATCATTATTATTTTTTGCTCTTATTTTATTATACTGAAATGGGTGAGTGAGTGAGTAACTGTGTCCAAATAATTTCCCTTGTAGATCAATAAAGTTTGTCAAAGTCTAAAAAAGAGAAAAAGGTCATAGACTGAAAAAGTTACAGTAAATTTTATTAGTCTTCCAAATACAACACTTACTCTAAAAATCCACTAATATAGTTGCCATAAGTGGTGCGTGTTTATGTTCCCATCTTTCGGAGCTAATTATTGAATTACTTAATTTTACTGCCCATGTACCCAGTGTGAAAATGTTAATATATTTATAATTAGGAGTGCAAAATAAGTCACTTACAAATTAAAAATTGCAATTTGAATGGCCACAATTAGCAGATAAATGTATTACTTATAGAATACAATCATGTAGAAGTCATGTTGGATGGTTGTTAATTTGTCTTCTTGAGCTGAAAAAACATGTCCTGGAAATATTTTAATATATTTTTCACTAGTATTTTTTTTTTTTAATTTTACAAAAATGCTGTAATGGTATTCTTCTATATAGCTATACTGCAAGATTTCTCAAAGCATTTATCTAGCAATGGAACCTCCCAAAAGGTCAAACAAAACCATAAAAAATGTGTCCATGATAAGTTCTGATGACCCTCACCGTACACCATTTCACCTTTACAACCACTTCCTCCTCCACCTCCACAAAAACGCTCCTCCTCTTCCTCACCCTCTCCTCCCCCTTTCCTCCCCCTCAGTACCTGTGCTCTCCAGCCAAAGCCACTCTGAGCTTCATTAATAATGCAGGCGACCTCAGTCCATCACCTCCTAACACTCCCACTGCTCCTCGCGGCGTTATAACTCATCCTGACCACCGGGTGTGCCACGAGCTCACCTGTGGAGCCCACAGCGTCTGCTGGTCTAAAGAGAAGCAGCCCTGTCCTTTTATACTCCTGGACACAACATGCTTTTTTATGGGTTTGGGATGATTTTGAGCTTTTAGGTTACTGTCTATTACATAATCTAGCGGCAGATTTTTTTGTCAAAGGTTGGGATATGTTAATTAAAGGTCCTGTATTATACTAAATGGACTCTTGTGAGCTTTAAGCCATGTGATAATGTTGTTACTTCCTCACAAACATACCTCAAGTTCTGTTTTGTTTCATTCATGTTTGAGTAACCCTTTATAATCAGTCTGACTACATCTCCAGAGCTCAAAATGCTCTTTTCCATCTTGCAATATCATGTAAGGGTAGTTTTCAAGTTAACAGGGCTGAAATTATTCAGATGATTACAGTTAAGGTGTATGGAGTATTAAAACACAATGGAGCGCTTCCTGTATTGCCAAATGACATCACAAGGTGGAACATTATATTTAGAAAATAGTGAAATATAGGCCATTAAAAAAAATAAAATAAAAAATTAGAAGGTTAGGCAAGACACTTCACCAAGTATGAATGTCCAAGAGAGGGATCAGTGGTCAGAGGGATGGACTGTGCAGATTGGCAGCCTTGTGCCGTTAGTCTTTCCCAGGGCAGCAATAGTAGCTTAGTGACCTTACCACCACCAAGTGTGGAGTGAATGAATCATACACTGTAAGTCTCTTTTAAGTGTCTTGAATGACACTATTCAATCGACCATTTTTTTTTTTTTTTTTTATATATTATATTATATTTTGAGCAGATACGTAGGCCGATATTGATTATTTTTTCCCAATTTATGCCATTTAACTTTACTTAAAACTAACCCACAGCTCTTTTTGTATCCGTAAAACCGGCTAAAAGACGTAAAAGAGAATTGTGCAGTCACATTTTGTACAGTTATCTCTTTGCACTCAAGTTTTCAACTAAAGATTTATAGGTATTTTTAGGCAGCAGTTCAGCCAAAACAAAATATTGGCCTGTACTGGAGATAAATGACGAATAGCTGATATGCTAAAAAGTGCAAATATAGGTCCAAATATAGGTCTATTTCTTCTATATAATTTAAATATTAGCACCTTTACTTCTAAAATGTTAAGGTTTGTGTACAGCCTGCTTGTATTTACTTGTAATTAAAGTATGGAAAAAGGAAAGCATAGTGATTACGAACACCTCTATAGCATTGTAGACTTGTTGTTCCAAACATGTCTGACACCAATTAAACCCTTCAGGCATCGGTATGCAGGTGGATTACACATCTGCACTGAGACGAGACTCGCTAATGTGCCGCTCTATAACTTATTTACATTCACAACAAGTGACCAGAGACTACAAACAAAATGGCTTCCTGTGTTTTAGAATCACACCAAGGAAAAAGTGTTCTGCATTAATGAAAACAACTGAGGGCTGAGCTGTGTGATAATTTACTCAGGGCATGTAAATTCACTTGGGTTTTTATGTCCTTCACACATCAGCTTTAGTGCCAGTGACCTCTATAATGGCCTTCATAATGACAAGCAGATGGGGCTTCAGTAACGTCAATAAATACTGACCGGATCTTTGAATTAAAAAATGTAATTATGTGAACAAAAGTGTTGCATTTGAAGCATAGACAGGAAATAGTGTTTTATTTAATCTAAGTTATAACATTTTAAAATACAGCCCTACTTTGAGTCTGGGGACTGTTTCATAGCGTTTTACTGCCCTCTAATGGGGATTTGTGGATATTGCAGCATTGGCAGCAACATTATTGACTGGTAGTATTTTACTAGTGTGAATTCTGCAATACAATAATACATACTGTGTACTTGAATGACTATGTAAAGTAACCAAAGTGGCTGCATTTTATTTATTTATTTTTTCATTTCAGACTCTCAGCCCATAATAAACCTTCTCTCACATCTACAAACTTGATGCGATAACTTTTTTTTATTTTAAACATTTAAAAATGCATAATAAATGGTCATGAAACAATAATTTTGAAGTAAATCAATATTTGAAAGGAAGAAGTAGGAAAAAGTCAGAACCAGAATCCCTTTTCACAACTTAACCCATATAATTTAACGCCCTCTTTCAAAATCTCTTCATGTTACTAACTATACTCCCATCTACACACATCCACTACTCATTTTCTATCAGTTTTCGTACCTTTTTCTTACCTTTTGCTATTCATTTTTTATTACCAGTCTTTCCATATTCGATTCATATGCGTGACATCACAGCCCACCTCCGCCCGTGTATTCTCCCAGCTGGCCAGTCCAAACCAGTACTTTCTTAAGCAGCCTGGAAACAGCCGTTAGATCTGGAAACTATTACAGTGCTGAGAGTGATGGATCATGGAGAAGGCATGTCCGCTGCTCTGCTCTGTGTCATCATAAACCCCAACTGAGTGCATGAGAGCTGGGCCAGCATTTCCATAAAAGATCTACTCCGTCCAACTGTTGTCCAAGCAGCGGGGCGCCTCCCAGAATATGTGGAGCATGTCAGGAGTTATGGTCTTGAGTAATGTTGAAATAAAACCAATGTAACAAAGTACTCTTAAAGTCAGTATTCATATTGTAGATGTGCATTTCCTCTTAACTTAAAGGTGTACAATGGGAGGGGGGTTCTATGCTTGTTTCTATGGATATGTCATTGCTCTGCCTGGAATATTCCACATTATGACATTAAACATCTATACCTTACGTTACGGTACCTTAAATTACATGTGGTTTTATAGCTCAAAAATACATAGAAAAACATGTATTCTGACTGTGAGCGGGGATTCCTCTCCACAGATCTGACCTGTATCTTGGTTTGGTTTCCATGAAAATAAAAAGGTTTAATGCCATACTGTGAAACATTCCATACAAAGCAATAACATCTCCATGGAGAAAAACAGAAAAATTACACAATACACCTTTTAAAAAATATCTGTTTTTTATAAGGAAAACTATAGTTTAATAATGTTTGTCATATGTCTGTTGTGTTCTAGGTCCTGGGAACTCCTTCTGAAGATACTTGGCCTGGTGTGAACTCATTGCCTCACTTCAAGCCAGGTAATGAGCTAATAAATTCAGTTTTCATTTAATGTCATTCTGCTCTTATATATTCAAAATACTAAGAGTAATGCTATCTCTCAGTTGTTAACTTAGGAGGTAGAACTATACCCAATGCATTTCTTTAAAGTATCACTATGGGAAATTTGAAAATTTCCCTTGGATGGTCTAATATTGATGCTTTACCTGACATGTTCCATTTATTTAAATTTTTATCTATCTCCATGTGACAAGCAAGTGGTTCCACCTGAGTTACTGGTCAGGTTTGTGGAGAGGTGACCCAGCTCACTTTAGAATGCTTGTTTTTTTCAATGTATTTGTACACAGTAAACACACATGTACTTGTAACTGATGGAAGTTCAGTGACATAGTGTGAATCATTCCATACATTCTCCATCTTTGTGCGTATTTTAACTGGATAGATAGGGACCCTGCAATAAAAAAAAAAAAAAACTTTTCCCATGATGTCACTAAAATTAATTCTATTGTAATTTTCAATAGCATAATGTTTTGGATATTAGGGAAAATAGACTAACTGTCTGTATAGTAAAATATAGTTAAAAACTTGTGTACATTTTGATGCACTAGTAACATTTACTACTATTTCTCAGTCACTTCACACTGTTAATCATGCGGGTATGCTTAGTCCGAGTTCATCTGATTGAAGTTAGAAGAGACATCCTTGTTCACACTCTGCAGTCACAGACCAGTGCCAGCAGCATGGTGTTGAATCAGAGGCAGGATGAGGGGTACGGGGTGTGTGCGTGTTTGTGTGAGTGTGAGTGTGTGTGTATGTGTGTGTGTGGAGGGAGAGGAACATGTGGTGCCCTGTGGGAGCTCATTAGGCCTTTTTAGATGCTCGGTGAACAGAGGCAGAGAGAGCTCCAGCTGACAGGGTGCACCAGGAGGGTCAGAGAGATGTCCTGGGACAGTCCTGGAGGCATCACATGACCACGACCATCTCCTCTGGATGAATACAAATGTTCAGTGAAATGTGATCATGATAATAATGGCTATTTTAAAGAAGACATATTATGTTTTTGGGGAATTTAGTATTGAAGATGCACTATAACTTTTTGTTTGTGGATCTGTCACCTGCTTGTTTCTGTGGATACGTCATTGCACTCCACCTGGAATGTTCCACAGTATGACATTAAACAGCTCTACCTTACATTTATTAAATTACAGGTATTTTTATAGCTCCAAAATACCTAGCAAAACATATATTCTTCCTGTAAGCTGGGTTGCCTCTCCACAGATCTGACCTGTAACTTGGTCTGGTTGAAGACCAAGCCATACTGTGAAACATTCCAAACAAAGCAATGACATCTCCATGAGAAAAGAATTTGACGAACCCTCCACCAGTTACACAATGCACCATAACTAGTTCTACTTTTTGTTAATTGTTAGCTGTGATATTGCTCTAAAATGGCTTATTTTTAAAACTGGTATTTTCATTGTTGAAAAGGTGACATGGTATTTTAGAATTGTACATGTATTACACAGTCTGAATTAAAACAAAAAAATAAAATAAAAATCATAGCATCAAATGTAGAGCAGAACTCTAGTGAGAAGGAATTATCATTAAAACACAAAGCTTGTAAAAGTTGATTTTGTGTAATATGTCTTCTAAATCACCAGCCAATCTTTACCCATTATTGGTCCATACAAGAAATGCCCACCAGATGGCAGTATCGCCTCAGTTTTACAAGTCTTTAGCCATGGTGGGTTTGGATGTTGACCAACGCTTTCCATCAACACACCAGATATTTTATACTCTATAGATGTGTACTGTATATGAATCATTTATGTAAGCATATGCAATCATAACATGATTGCATATGCTTACATAAATGATTCTATATGGAAAAAATCCCTTTCATAGATCAAATTTGACAAATGTATGCAACTTTTTTTTACACAGTTTTGAAGTTTGAGCAGTATATTTTAAGTGCAATGTCAATTTTGCTACAACTCCAGGATTTAATTTTCCAGCTTTCTCCATATGAGAAAAACAACATGTAAAAATGCCACATATTTCTCCTCCGTTCCTTGTTCCTTGTCTATTTCTGGCTTCACTCTGGGCCTCCCTGTGTCCAGTCTTGGCACTTCTCCAGGACCCTGGCAGCCTCTGAACTTTGGACTGACAGTTGTGTGGTTGGCAGATAGTGGATTATTCTGTCTCTCTTCCTCCATATCATTGTCTCTCTCTCCCCCCTCTCTCCTCTTCTCTCTCCATCATTCTCTTTCTCCCTCTCTCTCTCTCTCTCTCTCCTCTCCCTCTCTCTCTCTCTCCTCTCTCTTCTCTCTCTCTCTCTCTCTCTTCCCCTCTCTCCTCTTCTCTCTTTTCATTTATTCTCTCTCTCTCATTCTCTCTCTCTCTCTGTTCTCTCTCTCTCTCTCTCCTCTTCTCCTCCTCTCTCTTCTCTTCTCTCTCTCTCATTCTCTCTCCTCTCTTCTCTCTCTCTTCCTCCCCTCCCTCTCTCTCTCCCTCTTCTGTATTTCTTCTCTTCTCTCTGTTTGTAATTCTCTCTCATTCTCTTTCCTCTCTCTCTTTCCTTCTCTCCTCTCTCTCTCTCTTCTCTCTCTTCTCTCTCTCTCTCTCTCTCTCTCATTCTTTCTCCCCTTGTCTCTCCTCTCTCTCTCCCTCTTCTTTTCTCTCTCATCTCTTCTCTTCTCTTCATCTTTCTCTTTCTCTCTCTTCATTCTTTCTCTCTCCCTCTCTCTCTCTCTCTCTCTCTCTCTCTCTCTCTCTTCTCTCTCTCTCTCTCTCCCCCTCTCCTCCTCTCCCCCCTCTCTCTCTCTGTGTCTCTCTGGGTGGCTGTATGGTTGGACATTGGCCGGACAGTTGGCACATGCTTCGTGCTCCTCTGTGTCCTCCACATGGCAGTTCTGGCCCGGGCTCCTCTCTCGGTTTAATGAGCGCATCTCACCACAGTACTTCACAGATATGACTTTATAATATAGCCAGAGACTCATCCCACATCAAGAATTAGTCAAGTGCATTTTGGACAGAAAACTACTCATAATAATTTTTTTGACCACAGTAAAAAAAAAAGAACACACTCAGATCCTACGCAGATGCTGTTATATCAACACGCAGGTGAATGTCATTATACGAAAAACAACTGGATACCATTTTAGTGATGTAACTGTGGACTGGCTCAGGGCTACACTCCGCACTGAGCGTTTAACAAAGAGCACCTGTGTTAGTTTACAATCAGCACATCATTGCCGAGTGCTTTAAGGCAGAGGTCAGGATGATTCATTTACTTCCACTTACTCTGTTACGGTTCACAGGTGAGGCCAGACCAGCTGCTGTGGAACATATGGACTGTAATGGCACTGGAGTTAATTGTAGATTTTTGGCACAAGGCAAGCTCACTTTTTCGATTTGAGTACAAGATGGAATATGCACCTCCCAAATCTATAAATTATTGAAATCATTTGTACCTTTTTTCTAATTAAAATATTGACAAACAACAAGATACAAAAAAATATACAAATATACGCATTTTGCTTTTACATTATAGGTGATGTTTACTTTTCTGGTGGAGGATCAGCCACGTGCTTGTTTCCATGAAGGTGTTTTTACTTTGAATTTTCCACAGTGTGGCATTAAACTTATATATCCTGCATTTATTCAGTTTCAGATGTTTTTTGTTTTTCTTTCTAAAAATACCAAGAAAAACATGCATTCTTACTGTGTGTGGTAAGGCAATATGGCAATGAAATGGAGTCATGGTCTGATCCCTTTGACAATCTGCTATTTTGGTCAGATCACCATATCATGATGCTCTGCTTTATTCGTTTGAAGCTTTTCTATTGTCAAAATCAGACACCTACCACCACCCACTTCTATTGTCCAGCCTCCAGCATGCTCAGAGTGAGTGACAGGTATATTTAATCAATCACAGTGATGTAAACATTTATAAACACCAGATAGCTTTAGTTAACTCTTGTACACTGAAGTGAGCAGGGTCGCCTTTCCACGAATCTGTCCTGTGGAATCACTCAAGAGGTCTCATGTAAAAATCCACTGTAAACTCATTATTTGATTATTTGAGTTATTTGTTCTATATCTTTTGGTTGTGCTGAAGAAGAATTTTTGCATGTATGTTAACCTAGCCCACTCTCCATCTCTCCTTGCAGATCGCTTCACAGTTTACAGTGCGAAGAAGCTGAGACAAGCATGGAATAAGTAAGTACATCTCCCTATACAGTCTATATATTCACCCACCATATTACAGCACATATCTCGGGTTGCACCACCAGCTGACAGTCCCCCAGCTTCCTTATCTTCTCCAGCAGATTCCCACAGTGGCTTGTCCTTGGGCTCCTCTGTACACACATATCCTACTATAGCGTCATCTTCTAGCACATTCGTAACACTATCTCTGGCTTACATGCCCGCCCCTCTCCACTGCATGCCCAGCTGGGGGTCGGCCTCCTACTCGCGCGGAGCTGTACGGGCCCCGGGCTAACATCTGGAGGGCCCCGTTCACACCGCGCGACACTGAGTTTGTTTCCCAGACCTCGGGGGACGAGCAGGGAGGGAGAGCCAAATGATTTATGTTAAACCACAGCAGCTGTTTCATAGGCGAGTGGTGCATACAGTAAACAGTAGACTAGAGCAGCTTCAATAGAAAGGATCTGGATGGGAGTCAAACAGAAAGAGTAATACACAGGTGCCACCAGAGATTGTGGAGTGATTATAAAGGTGATATATGTGCTCAAGTCTTAAGGGATGTGGGTGTTTATGTGGTAGGTAAATAATGGCTGCAAATCAAAATACTAATGTCTGTTTTGTCTGGGGTATAAGAATTGGCAGTTTATAATTTATAATATTTATCATAGAAAGTATAAAGAAGTGGACTCAATACAAAGTGAATTGAAGTGAACCGATGGAGCTGGAAACGCACCCATGCTCACTTCCTATTTGGAACATGGTAGCGGGATAGCTATGTCCATATATATATATATATATATACACACACATATAAATATATACAATGTATATATATATATATATATATATATATATATATATATATATATATATATATACACATGTGTATTATTTGTTCCACCAAAGATAATACTGAACAACACTTGAATTTACAAATGTTTGGGTGTCAAAAATATATGCTTTTGTGTCTGTATTGTATTGCATTGTTATACTGTACTTATACATGATGATACTGATCTCAAGGTAGGTTTACAAGTCTTTAAATACCACTGAAGAGTAGGGGTGTAACGATATCCAAGTCTCACGATACCAATATCATCACGGTATGAACCTCATGATACGATATTTATTGTGATATCGTGGGAAAGCTCACGATATGGTGGGGAGACTCACTATTAGGAATATAACAATATCCAAATCTCTCTGTATGATATTTTCACGATATACATCTCACAGTATGATATTTATTGCAGTATTTTGTGGAGGCAAAACAGCTAAAACTGTTACTAAACTAAGCTAACTACTAAAGCTAAAAATATGCTACTTTTTCCTCTTAAAATGGCTTGACAAGACTTAATCCATAGAACTAAGACTTTAAAGTGCTCAGAAATGTTATTTCTTCTTGTAGTCTACGCTTAAATGGAGCAAAAGATCATGGTCTTTGTAGTTCTCTGTTTTTTTAGCTATTGCTGCACCATAACTCTTAATTTAAGCAAAGACACTTGGAATTCAATATATTGTGATGGTCCACGCTATTACTGTGAGAACTTTAACGATAAGATATCACGATATTTCGGTTATTGTTACAGCCCTACTGAAGAGTGATTTATTATAGCTTTGGGTTAACTCACATAGTTAAAAGTGCACTATGGAACTGTTCCGATGGAGAGTCTGCCACTTGCTTATTTCCAGGGAGTTGTTATTGCTTTACCTGAGACGTTCAGGTCAAGACGTGACCCCATTCACACTAAGAATCGTATATACATTTAATGCCTTACTGTGGAACATTCCAGGCAAAGTAAGAGCATCTCCGGAGAGACAAACTGGTAGAGAACACCACCAGAAAAGTTACATTGTGCACTTTTAAATTCTTCCTACTTATTATTTTTTATTCCTACAATGAAGCCATGCATAGTCAGAACCACAAACCCCATGACAAATTCCTTAACTTCTCTTGGCCTATGCTCCTGGAGGAAAGCGCCCAGAGGAGAAGACAGTCAGGCTGAATGTTAATGACCACTACTTCCTCTATGTGGCTTTTATCTGAGGCCAGGGGAACGTGAATGCGATATCAACCTTACACACTCCATTGTTGGCCCTATCCTCATGTGTTTTTAGCCCTGTATTTCTCCAGCTGAGAAAATGAGCAGGATTGATGTATAGTAAATGAGCGAGGGTCTGGAATCTGAAGCGCCACTTTGATATTTAGATGTAGCATTAAAAATAAAACCTCAACTTCATCCTGCTCTCCGATGACTTGAATGTTTTAGTTAAGGGTTTTTCTCGGTGCAGACAACACCCAACCCAAGTATTGCTTGGATTTTTAGTTTTTAGAAATCTGTTTTGCTTATATAGTGTGGAGATTTTCCAAGAAAAAACTGCCATCATAGAAATATTATATAAGTTACACAATTTTCTTAAAATTCATTCCATATAAGAGACATACTATAACTGGTAGTAGTGCTTAACATCAAGGAACCTCTCTCCCATTCTCTAATAACATCTGTCATTAGACCAGTGTACACACATTGTAAGAGAAGTTGAAGTGCCTTGCCCAAGGACTTGGTTGGCTCCAAATTACATCCAAAATATCCAAAATAAAGCTTTCTAACAAATCTAAATTTATGCCAAACCAAACGTAAGAAAGTACTGAATATGGGCAAGAGTAGCTCAGTGGTTAGAACATTCACCATTCAAATTGATGTTGTTGTGTCTTTGGGCAAGACACTTCACCCTTCTCACATGTGTATGAATGTGGTGTGTGAGTGAGTGGAGGGGCCAGTGGTGTAGATTGGCAACCTCAGTCTACACCAGAAGTAGTTGTTGTTACAAAAGTATCTTGCCAACCTTTCAGCAGGAATGAATTATGCCATTTTTAGCCCTTTGAGTAAATAGAAATCCAATGCATTATTTGTATTGATTCAAAAACATGTTCAACCAAACCTTAAAATATAACTGTCAATCGTTCAAGAAACATCTAATTTTGATACCCAAACTTCAAACAACCAAATCTAATAATACAGCATTTTGAGCACATGCTATCAATGACGCCAACAAACCAAGCCCATATCAGCTCTGTTTCATCATCTTCCAATCCACTTTTTCAACCTTGACATTCTTATGAGCTGCCGATTTCTCAATAATATGGGATATTTTATTATAGTGTAGCATTTGGATAAGATTTGAAGTCAGAAGGTGGATTTAAAACAACCCCGTGATCAATATCAATCAAAATGCAGCATGCAGCCCAAAAAAGTACAAGTTCAAAGCCTCCAAAATCAGGTTTAACATCTGAGGAGTATCACTTTAATGTTACCTGACAAAGCATTGAGCCTTGCATTCCTGCTGGATTGCTTTATAATGGGGGCAGTAGGTAAATCACGGCATGAAATAAGTGCTGTCTCTCCCAGTAATCCATCTGCGGACATCTGTTTTTCAAATGGACCGTTGCAGTAGTGCTTTCAGTGAGCCGTGGACATCTGCAGGATTGAGTTTTAGATTTAGAAATTGTTGCATTGTTTTGTTATAGTTGTGGCAGTATCTGTGATTTTATTTCACTTAGTTAAAATAAATGATGCCACTTTTAATGGTGATGATGGGTTTTACACGTTTTAGTCAAGCCTTAATTGTTTACTGGTAAATGTACAATAGAACCGTCCAAACCTTTTTCACCGGGTCATTGTTTGGATGCCCCTGATGTGCAGTACTGAATGTAAAGTATCTTTTCCAGCACAACATTGAGATACTGACCAGTTTTCCATACAAAGTAATCACAAAACAGCATTTAATTTATGTAGCACTTTTTGGAAACTTAAAGACTGACAGTCACAGCTGCCCATCTGCACCATTCACTCAGACATACCACATTCACATATAGGTGGGTGAAGTGTCTTGTTCAAGGATACAACAACTGAAGCGCTGGTTGGAACTTGAATTAAACTACTGAGCACTATTATATTCCCTGACTTAGTACCAACTCAAATATGAAATTAGGTCAGTGATTACTTGAATGTAACAAATATGTATAGTGCTCTCATATGCTCTTCTCTCACAGTAGTCACTTATCACTGAGAATACACACTGCTTAATTTTGAGAAAGTACAGGTCAGCACTAGGGGTGTGCATTGCCTTGAGTCTGACGATACGATACATAATATGATTCGCATGTCACGATTTAATATATCTCAATACTAAAACAATGGATGATATATTGCAGTTTATCAATAATTCCTCCTAATAATACAGTCAACTACACTTTCAAAAGAGCACAATTGTATGAAATATAATTGAGATTTTTTTAAAAGTCATGACAACAGTGAATGTAACTAATTAATTTTTGTAAAAAAATATTTTAAAAATTGAATCGGATCCATTTGGAATCGATTTAAGGATTGTACAATGAAGTATCACAATATGTCATTGAATCGACTTTTTCTTACACCCCTAGACCCCAAACTCTATATTAAAACTTCAAAACAAAAAGTACTTCATCAAAACTTTTTGTGTTTTCCTCCAATCTCATCATGTTATTGTGCATTTGCTGTTGGCAGGAATGGCCCCAACACGTCACCATCACTTATCCATAGCCAATCGGACTGACAGCTTTTAACATGTGCGTGCTCAGACCTGTTTGTCCGCCCTCAATACCATCTTTACATTTCTTTTTATCATTAGTGGAGTCAAATGTGGTGACAGCTTGTCAAAGGATGTTTTCAACGCCATTCTTACCATAAAAGGATACCCCAGGTCACCTATCCGTATCTCTCAATCCTAACACTTCCCCTATACCTCCATGTTGCCATGTCCTGTTGGTGAATACGCTCTTGAATGGATACGCACCATTGCAGGAGGAATGCTGTTTGCTGTAAATTTGTCATCACCGGCAGCTGTGTGGTGGTCTTTGTAGATGGCTATCTATGTTGCCAGATGTGCACTTATTCACAGCTTTCGGGTTGATGGAAATGGCAAGAAGGAATGCATGCTTGATCCGCATCATCAGCTCGCACAGATCACCGGGGTCTCACACAATGTCAGCCCACATAGGAGTACAAAGGAGAAGGGGAGAGCTAATGTGTCCGATAGACTGTGGTAAAGTACGGGAAGACATATCAAATACTTGTTTTGTAATGTGAATACAGGTGTGTGCAGTCCACCTGGTCTGATGTGACCATAGAGTGACAGATAGCTTCAGCACTAAACACACAGGAGGGGTATCAGTTGTAGCGCTTACATTTTGGGTATAGAATGACATAGGTAATAGATATAGCACGGTTTATCGGGATCAGTTAGCTAGCAGAATTACCACATGTCAGGAAATGTATGTCTTACAACTAACTGGGAATTCTATGTCATTATGTGATTTGCAATTGGAATCAATCTCTAGGGATGCACTGATACTGGTATTGGATATCAGGACAATGTTACTTACTGTACAATGTTGACCAAAAACACATTGTAAATACACTTTTTTCAAATTTAGAATTTTTGAATTTGTTATGTAGTTACTTTAAATGCTAAATAACATTTACAAAACACATTTGGATAATTTTTTACCACATGTATCATCATATATCACATCATATTTTGGTTTTAAAAATGTAGAAGTTTTGAATAGTTCACTTAGCCTTTCTTTTGGTTTTGTTCCATTTTTACTTAAGTTGTAAAAAGACGTGGCCATTTTTATTTTGCAGTTCAGTTTAATATATCAAATCAAATCACCATTTTGCATCAAGGGATACTAGGGAAAA